TTATTTTTTGGGTAAAGCGTGCAATAATTATCCTAAAATGAAATTTTCTTTGTATATTATTTATAAGATTTGAATTTTGGTGTTATGAGTTTTGGGTAGTGATACTCAGACCTTCTCAAGTCAGTTCCCATTAGTCAATTTGATGGTTAAAATAAAACCTGAAAGACTAATGAAATTGGTAGGTTTTACATTGATTTCCCTGGATATAAATTATGGTTTGTTGCACATTTGTTACTAAAAGTGTGGGGAATTTCTTTTCCATCCCTATTCTAGATAATGTTCTTTAGAGGTTTGGTTTATTGTTTTATTATGCACTTCATATCCAGACATTATCTTCAATATTGAAATAGGTAAATAGTTGACTTAAACGTACGAGAAAGCCATGATAGTAGTTTGGCTAATTATGGGCATATATCTCGACGTACACGGACATGCACGTGTTATGATTAGGCTAGTCATTTAACTTATTTAGATGAGAATAAATTATTGGTGAGGACTTTTCTATGATGTTTTACATTACGAGGTATAAATTACTTGATGCTCGAACTATCAGGTGACAAATGTTGAGGCTTGTTTCATAATTTTTCCAGATTAGAGGGACTAATTGATGAATAAACTTATATTAATATAGTAGATTTTGTGATTTGTTGCAAATGCAGATATTGTATTATCAAACAAGATTGTTCTGTATGACCTCGAAAATCAGACCATTGGATGGACAGACTACGACTGTGAGTATAGTTGGTTATTGCATTGCTTCTGCACTTACAATTTGGTTTTTGGTTTTATGGTTAGATTCTCTTTTTCTTGAATTGGTTATATTGGAATCATTTTTGTTGAAATCTGAGCTTCGGTATGTTGTGAGTTATGAACTTTCACTAGACTTAAATTTTGAGACAATCTGTCCCATATTTGTGGCTTCGTCACTCTTACTTCATTTACATTATAATTAACGTTTATTCTGTTCCTTATATGCCTGCTTTTCTCCCTCCAAACTTCAACTTATATTGGTTTTGGCTTGAGTTATGTTCCAGAATCAAGAAGACTGACTATATCTCAGAAAAATCAAACTTAATGTTGAATGAAATTTTCACGAAAACGAGCTTTCACTGTCTTTTGTTGTTGATCTCAGGCTCTTCAAGCATCAAGGTGATAGATGATGTCTCAGGGAACATATATTCTGTGAGCGCCCATGATATTACTTCGTGTTCCAGTCTGATTAAAGCGAGTGTTCTGCCGATTGTTTTGTTAATAGCCATCCTGCTGAATTCGATAGAATGATCTCTTGGTAAGATATCAGTTGTTGCTCAACTGATCCTACTTGAGGATCCGTGTTCTGCTGCTCAATTGAAGAATGTTCCTCTTGAAATCTTGCAAACCGGGTGAATATAAAAATGGTCAGGCCAGAGCTATGTATTAGAAATCAGTAGGCCGATTTGTGAAATGTAATTCTCAAGTTATATTCAATGGACGATCACAGCAAACTGTTTTTGTATTAATAAAATGAACAAAAATTGAATGACAATTCTAGGCATTCGAAAGGTTTAGATCTATCCCCCTAACTCGAGAACTAATCACTGAATGAATCCCTCCCAAATCCCCCCTTGTTACATTTATATAGACCTCTGCTATATTTCTATTCCCTTTTTTACGCCTTTGCTGACTAACTAAATGGAACACTCTAGAATATTGAATAATTATGAATCCTAGCTTATCACCAACATCCTCACTGTTGTCGGTGTTAAAAATTTCTTCATCTTTGTCGCGAGCAACCCGTTCCCATTCGTTGACTGCTTGGCTCGTAACTCTTCTTTTTCTTTATAAATTGTAGTGGTTGGTGTAATTAGGACTTGAAATTGGAGCAATTTGATGAGTTATAGGGTTGAAAACAGTTGTCTTTGATCCAATTTCAGCGGATTCTTTTCCTCTTTCGGCCAATTTCATAATGTGGCCCAAACCCTTTGGTTTAGGCATGCTTTCCTCCATCCATAACGATTTCAGGCCATTGAAGACATTCTCTTCCAATACTGGGATCGCTGGCAAGGATGACAGTAAGATTTCAATTGATCTCCCGTCTTCGGTAGTTACCTCAGATTGATCCCGACTGCCTCAATTTACCTCGATTTCATCGGATCGAGGTGGAAATTTAGATATGAGTGGCTTCCAGCAAAGTAGCGGCCAGTCCATTGATTCGATTATCTTCATTCACCTTTTTTAACATCTTTGGTAAGGGAGCCGTCAAGTGGGGACTCGTCGCTAGAGTTTCAGATGGAGTGGTTGTACAGCTCTGAGATCTCCTGCAATATCTCTCGACTACTGAGTAATAAATTTCCTGCCCTATTTTTATCATAGGCTTTCATTCCCTCCTCTATATTGCTTGTCCCTTCAACCCTCTGCGATGCCCTTTCCCTCTCTCTCAATCTTGCTCATTCCTATCTGATGCTACCAAAAATCGTACCTGTAGATTTTCCGAGCTTGATGACTGATGAGGAGCACGAACGTGATCTTCCGATACCTGAAACAAAGGCAACGAGGTGTGTTCTCGTCGCCCCTCCGATGCTTAAGTCAGAAAGGGAAATATATGTGTGAGGCTATGTGCTGAAGAATAATGAAAACGTACGTGAATAATGGCCCAAGGTTCTGCTTTTATAGGAGTAGGTAGTGTACTCCTAGTAGGATTGTGTTGGTTGGATGTTTTTATCCAAGGGAATTTCTGTTTATAAAGAGTGTCCTACTTGTAATGGAATTGTTTGACAAGTGGTGTCAGGGTTGATGTAGAATCCTTGGGTGTTTAGGTTTGTTTGTAAGGTACCCAGGTCTTAGGAGGCATGTTGGTGGTGTATTTCCCGAGGACTATTCTTGAGGCTTGAGAGAATGTAAATATGTCCTCGAGGACTACGATACCTGGAGGACTTAGGGAGACCCAAGGACCATAGCAGAGAAGTGAGATGGGGTATACATGGAGTCCTCGAGGTAAATATGTCCTCGGGGTATATCAATATTGGCATAGTCACTGGCACCCGTGCACTCGTCCTAGAGATCGAGCTCTTAGGATGGGGTGCACATGGGTTACAACATTTCTCGAACCTTCATCGAGAAGTGATGGCTGATGATATAGGTCGATATATGACCGTTGCAGAGAGTGGCTTGGATTTGTGACACGTGTCTTCGTGGACGGTCGTAGATAGCGACCTTTGGCCTCCCATCGTTTTCACCTATAAATACTGTTGTTCTCACCTTCATTTTTCACTTTTACCCACTGTAAATCAGAGTTCTGTGAGGTCGTGCTCGAGAAAAAAACTTTGGGAACTTCTCAAGTCGTCGGGAACTCCAGGTAAGACTCGAGACTTTAAGTTATTCATAAGCTAGGTCTTAAGTTTGTTAAGGGATGTCGAGTATAGCTCGAGGACTTACTCTGCAAGGGCTCGAGGAGGCCAAAAGGGCAGCCGGGGTCGAGACGTCCATGGCCTCTAAGGACAGCAGGATTCAAGACCTCGAGGCTCAGGTCGAGGTTTTATTGAAGGAGCGTGATGATGCGAGGAGGGAGGCTGCAAAGGCCAGGGATGACCTGGTTGTAGGAAAGGATGAGGTCGAGGGCGCGAGGCTCGAGCTCATCCAGAAGACAGAGGATTTTGGGCGCGAGCTTGCGGCTGTCAGGGAGAGGGCCTGGGAGGAGTTAAAAACCTCTGAGGACTGTGACAGGATAAAAGGGGAGTACGCGTCGGGGGCGTACTTCCATGCTCTGAAAGAAGCCCGGGCCTTCCTCCGTCAGAAGTTGCCCGACGTCACTCCGGACGACCTGAAGACAGTGCCTTCCATTGCTGATACATTGGAGCACTCGAGTTCGGAAGATGGAGGAGGATCGGGTGGAGATGATGAGGATGGTCTTGAGGACGACGTTGAGATCGACATCAGCAACCTCGACCCTCCTCTTGGCCACATTGGATGACTTCCCCACCCCGATCTTTTGTAATTTTTGTTTAACTTTGAACATGTAAATTGATCGAAGATTATGTATGTTCTAAAGTTAATTTATTCGAACTATCTATCTCGACCCTTTGGACTTCATACATTCGAGCAAACTGATTGGAAACTAACTGCTCATGCGACATTGAAGTGTTTACTCGAGGATTCCACAACTCGAGCGTATTTAAGGGATTAAAAAGTGATAGTGACATACGTTCTCGAGGACTGTAATCCTCGAGCACAACTAATATAAAAAATGATGATGTGACATTCTCGAGGACTGTTAACCTCGAGCACAACTAATATAAAAAATGATGATGTGACATTCTCGAGGACTATTAACCTCGAGCACAATTAATCTTAAAAAATGTAATGTGACATCCACGAGGACTGTAATCCTCGAGCACAACTAAACTTTAAAAAATGGTAATGCGACATTCTCGAGGACTGTAATCCTCGAGCACAACTAAACTTTAAAAAGTTGGGTTTGTGATTTCCTCGAGGACTGCAAACCTCGAGCACATCTAACTTAAAAAGTGGTAATGTGAAATTCTCGAGGGCTATAAACCTCGAGCACATGTGAAATTCTCGAGGGTGTCAAAAATGATGTGGGATTTTTGTATGTCCCTGGGTGATACTGTAATGGTTTACGCTTGAGTATATGATCAAGGTTTTTTGTGCTTGCGCGGGGCAAGGCTTTGGTGCTTGCTTGGAGCAAGGCTTTCTTGAGTGCTTGCTTGGAGCAAGGCTTTCTTGAGTGCTTGCTCGGGGCAAGGCTTTCTTGAGTGCTTACTCGGGGCAAGGCTTTTAGTGCTTGCACGGGGCAAGGCTCTTTTGAGTACCTGCGCGGGGCAAGGCTTTTTTGTGCTTGCGCGGGGCAAGGCTTTTTGTGCTTGCGCGGGGCAAGACTTTGGGGCTTGCTCGGGGCAAGGCTTTGGTGATTCCTGGGCGCAAAGTACACTAAAGGGCTGTTATATATATCCGAAGCTTGAATTTACTAATTTTTCGGACTGGACTTGGATTTATATTGTATCCAAGCTGCCTACGTACCCAAACGGGATCAAGCCGAACGTAGTTCATTACAAAAGAGAACGAAAAACATGCATGGGCACGCAGGCCCGCTAAACTAGAAATAAAATGCAGAAAAAGAAAATCTCCTAAAAGGCGTCGGGAATGTTACTTGTAATATATTTTTAGATTGTCGGCATTCCAGGGTCTTGGAAGAGGTCTGCCCGAAGTGTCTCTTAAGCTGTATGCTCCTTTGCGAACCTGTCGTATGACCTCAAAGGGCCCTTCCCAGATGGGCCCGAGCTTCCCTGGGGGGTGGCCTGCTGCTTCGGCCCTCCTCAAGATCAAATCGCCAGCTCTGAACCTCCGAGCCTTGACTTTAGTATTAAAATGTTTCGTTGTCTTAGTTTGGTAAGAGGCCACTTTTATAGCAGCTTGCTCCCGTACTTCTTCCAAGAGATCAAGATGTTCAGTTATATGCTCCGAGGTTTCTGGCACGAGCCTCCTATGGCTTGGCAGTCTAATTTCCACCGGGACCATTGCTTCAATGCCATAGGCTAGCATAAAAAGGGTTTCTCCTGTGGTTGTCCTATGAGTTGTTCTATACGTCCAAAGTATAGAAGGCAGCTCGTCGGACCAAGAACCCCTAGCATCGGTTATTCTTGTTCGGAGGTCTTGCAATATGATTCGATTTGTTACCTCGGCCAGACCATTGCTCTGAGGATGCGAAACTGATGTCAAGCGATGATCAATCCCAAGGTTTGAGCAAAAGTTTCTAAACTGTTGGTTGTCAAATTGCCTGCGATTGTCGGTGATGAGGACCTTTGGTATCCCAAACCTGCAAATGATAGACCTCCAAGTGAAGGCTCTTAGCTTGGGCTCCGATATTGTGGCGAGAGGTTCGGCCTCTACCCATTTTGTGAAGTACTCTACTGCTACAGTAACAAACTTTAATTGGCCTCTTGCCACAGGAAAGGGGCCGAGGATGTCAACTCCCCATTGTTCAAACGGGGCCGAACAGTTAATGTTGGTGAGGTCTTCGGCTGGTGAGTGGATAACATTACCAAACCTCTGGCACCTATCACATCTTTTAACATATTCTGAGGCGTCTTTTTTCATAGTTGGCCAGTAGTATCCATATCGTACGAGTTTAAAGGCCAAGGCCCTGGCTCCTTCATGGTTCCCGCACACACCTTCATGAACTTCAGCAAGGGCTTGGGATGATTCTGATGGCCTGAGGCACCTTAGGTATGGAAGAGTAATACTTCTGCGAAAGAGGACACCGCTGATCATGCAGTACCTAGGAGCTCGGGCTCTAATGCTTCTGGCCAACCTGGCATCGCTTGGTAGATTTCCGTTTGTGATGAATTCTATGATCGGGTCCATCCAGGATGGTTCGTTGTCAATGTCCATGATGTCGAGGATTTGACTGATGCTGGGTTCTGTGATGATTTTAATGTGAACCGTTCTGTCAAGGCCGTCTACCCCCATGAACACAAGCTTGGATAATGCGTCGGCTTTTCCGTTGTCCTTTCGAGCAATTTTTGTAATTTCACAGCTCTTGAATTTTCGTTGAAGATCCTGAACCCTCATACAGTACAAACTCATTTTCTCCTCCTTTCTTTCAAATGATCCTTCAATCTGTCCGACCACTAGCTGTGAATCGCTGAATATCTTTACGAACTCGAGCTCTAGGCAAAGGGCTAGCTCAAGAGCAATAACGACGGCCTCATACTCGTCCTCGTTGTTGGTTGCTTCAAACTCGAACCTGAGAGCGCATTGGATCTCTGTTTGTTTGTCAGGGCTGATGATGATGACCCCTGTGCCCGAGCCCGAGGAGTTCGATGCTCCATCCACAAATATTTGCCAAGTGTCCAAATTAGTGCTCATGCTCGAACTGTCACCTAGCCCCCGAGGCCTAGGGGTTAGTTCTGCAATGAAGTCGGCCAGAGCTTGGGCTTTGATAGATGGGCGTGGTTTGAATTCTATGTCAAATTCTCCAAGCTCGATTGCCCATTTCATCAGTCTTCCTGATACGTTCGGCTTCTGAAGTATATGCCTAAGTGGTTGATTAGTGAGTACCATAATAGGTTGAGACTGAAAATACTGCCGGAGTTTCCGTGCTGCTATAACCAAGGCAAGGGCAAGTTGTTCCACCAAAGTATACCTTGTTTCCGCATCCAGTAGGACCTTGCTTACATAGTAGATAGGTTGCTGGACTTTGTTAACCTCTTTTACCAAGACCCCGCTGACCGCGTTTTGAGATACGGCCAAGTACAAAAATAAGGTGTCACCAGGCTCAGGCCTTGTGAGAATAGGAGGAGATGCCAATGTCTGCTTGAGCTCCTGAAAAGCTTTCTCACAGTCTTCACTCCAATCAAAGCCTTGGTTTCCTCTGAGGACTTTGAAGAAGGGATAGCACCTGTCTGATGCTCGGGACATGAACCTGTTCAAGGCTGCTATCCTACCAGTCAACCTCTGTACCTCTTTCTTGTTCCTTGGTGATTCCATAGACGCCAAGGCTTGTATTTTGTCAGGGTTGGCCTCTATCCCCTGGTGAGTGATCATAAAGCCCAAGAACTTGCCCGAGGCCACGCCGAATGCACATTTTGCGGGGTTCAACTTCATTCCATACTTTCGCAAGGTGTCGAAAACATCTTCAAGATCTGAAATATGCTGGTCCACCTGTTTGCTCTTGACCACCATGTCATCAACGTATGCCTCCACGTTCCTTCCAATCAAGTTAGCAAAGACTTTGTTGATGAGTCTTTGGTATGTTGCCCCTGCATTCTTCAAACCGAAAGGCATGACCTTATAACAGTATATGGCGGAATCGACCATGAATGATGTCTTTTCTTGATCTTCTTCGGCGATGAGGATTTGATGATAACCAGAAAATGCATCCAAGAAGCTGTACAACTTATGTCCGGACATGCTATCCACCAAGTTGTCAATCCGTGGTAGGGGATAACTATCCTTTGGACATGCTTTGTTAAGATCTGTGAAGTCAATGCAGACCCTCCACTTACCATTGGCCTTCTTTACTAAAACAACATTGGCAAGCCAATCGGGATATTGGACCTCCCGAATGAACTGAGCGTTGACGAGTTTGGACCTCCCGAATGAACTGAGCGTTGAGGAGTTTGTTAATTTCTTCGCGAATGACCTCCCGACGTTCTGGGGCAAACTGCCTTTTCCTCTGCTTTACTGGTCTGGCCCCTGGGCTGATGTTAAGCCTATGGACTGCAATTTTAGGGTCTATCCCTGACATATCCTCAACCTTCCAGGCAAAAACGTCAATGTTGCGAGATAAGCAACCAACAAGTTTTGTCTTTAGGGTGACGTCAAGATCCCGACCAATTGTCACCTTCTTATCATGCTCGAGCTCAATTTCCATCAATTCTTCGACAGGGGCAAGTCTGACTTGTTGCCTGTCCTCGGGATCCATCCTCGAGATTTGCATGACGTCGTTATTTATTTCCCGAACGCTGGCAACAGAACATTGTCTGGCAGCTGTCTGGTCTCCACGGACGACCCCAACGCCATTACTTGTTGGAAACTTCGTGGCCAGGTGGAAGGTAGACACAATGGCTTTGATCTTGTTTAGGAGTGGTTTTCCCAGAATGGCGTTATAGGCCATTGAGACACGTACCACTTGAAAAGATGTCATCTCCGTAACCTGTTTCTAGCCAGAACCCAAAGTTAGAGGGAGCTCGACGACACCCTCTGGAGTGATGACTCCTCCCCCAAACCCCTGGAGAGGAGTTTTAACCGCTTTGAGCTGCTGAAATGAGATTCCCATTTTGGCAAAAGCTTCTTGTGAAAGTATATTGGCCGCACTCCCGTTGTCAACCAAGATCCTCTTTACTTCAAAATTGGCCAAAATCGCTGAGATTACCAAGGCGTCATCATGTGGGAGTGATACGCCTTCTAAGTCTTCGGTCCCAAAAGTAATATCCTCCAGCTTTCCATGAGGCATCCCAGAGGCCAAGGCATATCGTCGGGCATATTGTTTTCTTCCACTGTTGGAGTCTCCTCCCGAGGCAATACCTCCAATGATGATATTGATGGTTCCAGCAGTGGGTTGACCATCCCTTTTTGCCTCAGGGTCTTTTTCCCTGCTACGATCATTCCTCGGGCGTTTATCGTTACCAACGTAGGAGCTCAGGAGTCCTCTTTTAATAAGGGCTTCAATCTCCCGTTGCAGGGCCTTACAGTTCTCCGTGGTATGCCCATGATCTCGATGGAACTCACAATACTTGTTCATGTCCCTGGATTCGGGTGGTGACCTCATTTTGACAGGCCATTTCAGTTCCTTCATATCCTTGATCTCCATTAATATATTGGTCTTTGACGTATTTAAACGCGTGAACGGCATGGGGAGAACCTCCTGTCTCTGTTTTTTCCGATGTTGTTCTTCACGGTGGTTCGGGTCCTGTTGTCTTTTATGCTCGACCCTGTTATGGGATGGTCCAACCTTTCTCGGGTTCAGTGTTTCCTCCATATTTATGTATTTCTCGGCTCGGGTAAGAAGCTCGGTGACTGTCTTTGGTGGAGTTTTGGATAAAGACATCTTGAAGGCCTCGCACTTTATGGCATGTGTGAGGGCAGAAACTGCTGCAGTTATGTGTAGGTCGGGAATCTGAAGTCTTTCCTTGTTGAACCTGGTCATGAAGTCACGTAGGGTCTCATTTTGCCCTTGTCTAAGTTGCATGAGGGAAGCCGCTGTTTTCCTGATGCGTTTGCTGCTTGCGAAGAAAGCGGAGAACTTGTCCGCCAAATCCGAGAATGAGGCTATGGAGTTGGACTCTAAGGTTGAGAACCAATCCCTAGCAGCATTTGTCAAAGTTTGCGGGAAGGCCTTGCACATCACCTGATCTGGTGCAACCTGTAGGTTCATGACGTCCGTGTATATGTTCAGATGATTGATTGGATAGGTGGTCCCATCATATTCTTTGATCCTAGGATACTTAAATCTGTCTGGCAAGGGGAATGTTAATATCTCGGGAGTAAATGGAGTGTTGGGACTGAATCTTGTCGTCCCTTTGTTGCCGTGAAGTAGTCTCGCCGTAATTCCTTCTTGAATAATCCTAGCGAGTTCTCCGGACTCCATGGTCACTGATCTCGAGGCCGAGGTCACATGTGGTATACCCGAGGCCCGTGCTCCGCCATTGTCAGGGACATGAGCTCGAGCTCGAGCATCAGCCATAAAACCCCCCTGGGGTGCCGGTGTGGGTGACGGATGCGAATTTCTTTGACTTAGCAGCTGAGTCAGTGTGGCGACCTGTTGTCTGAGCTCTTCAAAGGCTCCAGTAGTGACGACTGCTGGCTGGGGCTCTGGCACTTTTGATGATTCCTCTTGAGGAACAGAGATATCCTCAGGAGGGGGTTGGTTTGGAGCGGATGAGCTTGCGGGTGGAAGACCTGAACATGTGTTTACCATGGCTTTTGGTAGCGGTTCCCACAGACGACGCCAATGATGCTACCAAAAATCGTACCTGTAGATTTTCCGAGCTTGATGACTGATGAGGAGTACGAACGTGATCTTTCGATACCTGAAACAAAGGCAACGAGGTGTGTTCTCGTCGCCCCTCCGATGCTTAAGTCAGAAAGGGAAATATATGCGTGAGGCTATGTGCTGAAGAATAATGAAAACGTACGTGAATAATGGCCCAAGGTTCTGCTTTTATAGGAGTAGGTAGTGTACTCCTAGTAGGATTGTGTTGGTTGGATGTCTTTATCCAAGGGAATTTCTGTTTATAAAGAGTGTCCTGCTTGTAATGGAATTGTTTGACAAGCGGTGTCAGGGTTGATGTAGAATCCTTGGGTGTTTAGGTTTGTTTGTTAGGTACCCAGTCTTAGGAGGCATGTTGGTGGTGTATTTCCCGAGGACTATTCTCAAGGCTTGAGAGAATGTAAATATGTCCTCGAGGACTACGATACCTGGAGGACTTAGGGAGACCCGAGGACCATAGCAGAGAAGTGAGATGGGGTATACATGGAGTCCTCGGGGTAAATATGTCCTCGGGGTATATCAATATTGGCATAGTCACTATCCTAGCTCCTTATCAACTAGGTCAATTCTCCCCAAGTTTGCACGGTCCGTTGTCGATCGACCTTCTGAACCCAATGCCATGATTGGCAATCAAAATAGGTTGTTGCAGCATTTATTTTCTATGCTTCCAATAATTGATTTATGGAGAAGATCTCTTCCACCAAGGCACCCACCATTCTGCGTTTTTGCTGCAGAATATCGATATTTTTAGTCTACCTCAAGGATCCAACCTATAATCAACATCTCGCTCTCTCTCTTTGCATTATCAATTTCTCAAACTGATTAAATATCGAGCCCCACATCTCTTCCAATTCTTTTTTTTTTTTGATTATTTTCTATTTGTTCGAGAATCGAGTACTCTCATACCATTCGGTAAGATACTAGTTGCTGCTCAACTGATCTTACTTGAGGATCCTTGTCCTGTTGCTCAATTGAAGAAGATCATTGTTGAAATCAACAAACTGGCTAAATATCAAAATGTTCTGGCCACAGCCATTTAGTAGTAATCAGTAATTTGAATTGTGAAATGTAATTCTTGTATTCAATGGATGATCACTGTAAATTATTTGTGTATTCATAAAATGAGCAGAAATTAACTTACAATTCCTGGCATTCGAGAGGCTTTGACCTCTCTTCCTAACTCAACAACTAATCACTGAATAAATCCTTCCCAAATCTTTCATTAATTACATTTATAGACCTCTAATGTATTTCTATTCTCCTTTTTTACCCCTTTGCTAACTAACTAGATGGACCTTTCTAAAATATTGAATAACAAACTTGAATGAGGCTCTGTTTGGTAGGGATTTTTTGCCCCAAAAAATTGATTTTTTGACCGTTATTTTACTATTCAAGCCGTAATTTTTGACTTCTTCTCTCACATGTGGACCCCACTTTTCTTCTAACGGTCAAAAAATCAATTCTCAAAATCTCTACCAAACGGGCCCTGAATAACTTGGAGGTCTATCCGTACTCGCCCCCTCAAAATTATCCTTGTTCTTAAGGTGAAAATCATGATCAATTCCCAAAATTCTGTACAATCGAACTACTTTCGGCGCAGGCCTGTAATGACCAGAGCAGAAAAGTGATAGCTCAACTTAAAAAAGATGACAGAACAATTGAGTACAAGTAGTACATTGTCCATGAAAATTCAGTAACTGATCCTACCCCTTTGTGGGCTTTTTGAAAAATGAGCCCAGCCAAACAGAATACAACAGTAGATAGTACAACAATAAACCAGCATCTCGATTTCTTCTTCTTGTGCAATCTACCTTTCTTTTGTCATTAGCACCATTCCAAACACCAAATTAATTATAAATCCTAACTTATCGCCATCCTCCTCATTGTTGTCGGTGTTAAAAATTTCTTCATCTTTGTTGTGCTCCTGTCTCGTAACTCTTCTTTTTCTTTTCCAATACTGTTACCATTGACGAGGCTGACTGTAAGATGTAATTGATCTCCACTCTTCAGTATTTATATCACATCGATCCCGATTGCCTCTGTATACTCCGATTTCATTAGATCGAGGTGGCAATTCAAATATGCGTTTCCAGCGAAGCAGTGGGCAATCCACTGATTCTGGGCAATCCACTGATTCTTACTTTCATTCACCTTTTTTGACGTCGTCAGCAAAGGAGCCACCAAGTGAAGATCTGTCGCTGGAGTTTCCGGTGATGGAGTGGTGGTGCAACTTTGTGATCTCCTGCGTTATCTCTCAACTACTGAGTAGCTTGTTTCCTATCCTATTTCATCATAGACCTTCTTTCTTTCAGCCATACTGCTTGCCCACTCGGGCTTCTGTTGAATATCCAGGAATAGTGTAAATTCAGGCAAATGATCTTTCTTTCCTTTCTCTCTCGATCTCGTTCCTTCCCATTCAACTTCATCATCAGGCACTTCAATGTTCCCAAGTTTGCACGGTCCATTGTTGATCAACCTCTTGAAACCAATTCCATGTTTGCAGTCAAGACTGGCTGTTGCAGCTTCAATTTTCTCTGCCTCCAATAATTGATTTATGGGAAAAAATCCCTTCCACCAAGAACACTTACCATTCTGTGTTTTCACCAATGAATATGGATATTTTTAGTCTACCTTGAGGATCCAGCCCATAATCAACATCTCGCTTTCCTTCCCTTTACATTATCAATTTCTTAAACCGATTCAATAACGAGCCCCCACCTCTCTTCCAATTCCTTTTTAAAATTAGTTTCCATTTGATCGAGAATCGAGTGCTCTAATACCATTTGATATGATACCAGTTGCTGCTCAACTGATCCTTCTTGAGGATCCCTGTTCTATTGCTCAATTGAATAAGGTCACTGTTAAAATCCTACAAACTAGTTGAATATCAAAATGGTCTGGCTACAGCCATGTATTACTAGTCAGTATATTGATTTGTGAAATGTGATTCTCAACAATTTCGGGCATTCAAGAGGCTTAGACCTCTCTCTCAATAACTAATCATTGAGTGAATCCTTTCCAAAACCTCCCTCATTACGTATATAGGCCTCTACTACATTTCTATTTCCTATTTTACCCATTTGCTAACTAATTAGATTGAACACTCTAGAATATTGAATAATAAACTTGAATGAATAACTTGGGGGTCTATCATTACTTGTCCCCTCGAAATTCAACTTGTCCTCAATGTGAAAAACATGACCAATTTCCAAAATTCTGTGCAATTGAACTATTTTCAATGCTAGGCTGCAACGACTAGAGCAAGAAAGTGATAGCTCAACTCAAAGAAGTTGGCGGATCGATTGACCATAAGTAGTATATTGTCCGTAAAAATTCAATAACTGGTTGCATGCGGACTTTCCAAAAATGAACCCGATCAAACAGATTAACGATGGATAGTACCAAAATTGACCAACATCACGATCTCTTCTTCTTGTGCAATCTGCCTTTCTTTTGTCTTTTGTGCCATTCCAAACACCGAATTAATTATGAGTCCCAACTTATTGCCAACCTCCTCATCATTTTCAGCGTTAAAAATATCTGTACCTTTGTCACCACTGACCAATCCTCGTTCATCGACTACTCTTGGCTCATAACTCTTCTTTTTCTTTTCAAATCCTAGTAGATTAGTGTAATTGGGACTTGAAAGGTAAAATAAAGCAAAACCCTACTTATGAACTTTATATTTCAAAACTAGGGCGATTGGTTTAAATTACTAAAATCAAGTGTTAATTATTTATTTTGAAATTAATAAAAATAAGTTTATTATAAACTAATTGTTCATTTATGTGAAGCAATCTGGACCGTCCATATTTCAATTTCATAACATTTCATACTTGTTCTAGGGGCAGGAAAAAGGCCAACCGAGAGGGGAGAATGAATGGCTAAGGAGACTGTTCCGTATGCTCTCCCTTCATCTGTGCCTTTGATTGATCCGTATTCGACATCAAAGTTTATGTTTTTATGTGATCGCAGCATCAAAAAGAAAGTTAGAATTTGATAGGAAATCCGATTCATGTGGAAAGGGGCGGACTCTTTAGGAATAAAACCCTACGGAGTCCCCGTACGCCGAGCCTTAGGGCCCGCTCTGAAGAATATCACGTCTCTCTCTGGACATACTCACCCATGATTTGATTTTCTCTCTCCCTACAATACAGAAACCACAAAAACCATGTCGCTCTCTCTCTCTACAATACAGAAACCACATCTCTCTCTCTACTATAGTGAAGTAATGTCTCATTCTGTTTCTCTACCGCTTTCAATCGCACAATAGGTCTTCGTTTATCGGAGATATAGTCATATTATATTTTAACTCCAACCATAGTAGTGTTTGAAATGACTAAAACTCGTAGTGTTGGTGTGAAAGTAATGGAGAAAAATAAAGGAAAGAGGAAAAATGTTGGAAGAGATTTTTCTTCAGCAAAGAGAGTTAAAATGTTAGTCTTGACCTATATTTGAGTAGTTTGTAACCTGATTTGGGTATTTTGAGAAGGAAATATCATTCTGTGACATGTTTTAGGTATTATGTAATTTGAAGGACTTGTGACTTATTTTATGTACTGTTTGATAAATTACTATTTATTTTAATTGAATGTGTTTTTCAAAGGGTGCTGGATTGTTTGTGAATGAAATACGTGTTTGATTTTCTACTTCTTTGTGTTATGATTTCAAAAAATATGTGACCAACTATTTATGATATGAATATGTATATGTTGGTTACAGTGAAATGTTTATGTGTTGAAGTTCACATTAATATGTTTGACATTACAATTGTGCAGAACTGAAAACATTTAATAAAACCAAGGAATTAGTTTTCTGGGAAGATCGTGACAACGCCAATACAAAGTGTCATTACACACTTTGTGATGAAATTTAATGCTGCCCAGAGGGAAATTCTAGGAAACACACTTCTCTCTTGCTACATGCAT